TGAGCTAAATCCCCAGCCCCTTGTGACTATATTTTATATATACACATGTACATATACACACAGAATTTAAGAGTCCTATAAATATGCCTTCTAATAAATTTAACAGATTACCTAATATTTTACAGAAACTTATACTGTTCAAAGTAAGGGTTAAGCTCATTCTTTAAAAATAAAGAAGATTAATTTTAAAATTAGAACAGTAGGGTGAGGGTATAGCGTAGTGGTAAAGCACTAGGCTCAAATGAAGTAGCAGTTTAGCCTAGCACCTAGCCTATATGTTAGGCTAGCACCCAGGCTACAGTGTTAGATCTGTAGCACCACAAGGAAAAAAAAATGGTAAATGTGTAAGTTTAGCACACTTGAAGAAAACACAATTCAGCTGGGTGTGGTGGTGCATGCCTGTAACCCCCATGTAATCCTAGCACTCAGGAGGCTGAGGCAAAAAGATCGCTGCAAGTTCCAGGCCACCCTGAACTGCACAGTGAAATCCTCAAAAAAAAAAAAGACACAACTCAAAAGAGCAACTGTACAGATCCATTTTTATTTTTCTCTTAAAACAACACCACCAATATCAAAATTAAGTATCAAAGAGATTATGAATTTTTAATAGAATGCTTAGATGCTTTCTAAAATGTTAGAAAACAAGGAAGGTTATATGAACAGTGCTCTGTAGCTACACAAGCCAATACATCAGTTCCCAAGCTAGTGTATGTGCTCTTAACAAATAAAATTAAATTGCTCAGTGGTACTGCAGCTGCCTAGCATGCACAGGCCCTGAGTTCAAACCCCGCACTGCAAAAAAAGGGTTTTTTTTAATGCAAAAGCTCACAGTACAGCAGCAGAGAGAACAATACACTCTTTAAATGTTCTCAGGTAGCTTCTGCATGTGAAACAAAATCTATTCATCCCCAAAACACTATGTTGTAGTTTCTTGTCTCCCCAAGAGACTGAGAATTTCAAAAAACAGATGCCTGGTTTTTGATTCAGGCATCCAATACTCAAATGCTCGGCAACAGTAATTATGGAAAGAGTATTTATTTCACCCTCACAACCACCCTTAGGTTTATTTTACGGTGAAGGGTACTGAGGGCTAAAAAGGTTAAGTAACTTAACCAAATTAAAGGAGCCAGTGGAACAGTTTTAGATTCAAAACCTGCACTGCTTAAACACCATGTTCTTCACTACTATTAACATATCGCTCTTTAAAAACACGAAACGGAAGCCTGACAAGGAGGCACAGGCCTGTAAACCCATGAGGCTGAGGTGGGAGGCCTGCCTAGACAGCCTAGCGACTTGGTGAGACTCTCTCTCAAAAGATTTAAAAGGAGCTTGGGATGTAGCTCAACAGGAAAAGAAACAGAAAGGAAGAGGGAGGAGAGAGAAGGGGACCACAGGGCAAGAAATGTCACGGAGCCTACAAAGAAAAGAGATATGTTAGCTGGATAATGTAACAGTGACTGCGACCTCATGATCTCTCAAGACTTTGCCATTATGGGTTATGTACGGGGCCCAAGTTATGAAGAAGGTGTAAATAATGACACATTAACAAAAAAAAAAATGTTCAACACTGTAGACACACCCTAAAACAACACAATGAAATATTCAAACACTAATTCATCAATATTTTTAAAAGGAAAAACAATTTTAGGAACCTCTGGAGAAAGATTCCGCTGAGCCTGAAAACTGACTTAATTCTTCCTTTACACGATGACGATCCAAAGAAATATAGATAAATCAAAAATCCAAATTCAAGTAAGTGAGGGGGAGAGTTGTTATGTAAAAAGACTATCTTAAAAGGAAAGCCGAAGGAATCCCTTTTCTAAAACAGTGGCACATATGGAAAAAAGAATGTAAATTTATGTTCAAGGGAACTTAAAGCAAAATCTTTTTCTAAGAGCCAAAGCTTTTTTTACATTGTACACAGACATGGCTTCCCTGCCTTCACCATAATATATCACCATAACCTCTTCTTGGTCAAAGAGCAGTAGTTTACAAGACGGGTTCTCATCCCAGAACAGCCATTTACAAACCACAAGTTCAGTTTCATTAACTATAAAATACAGGTTAGCAGTACTTGTCCACATCACAGGACAGTTAGGAGGATACAGGTGAAAGTACTGTATGAACATAATATAGTATTAAATACAAAGCACTGAGGTTGGTATTACTGTACTGTGTCAGAGATACTCTGCCTATTCTCACTGTCCTACAAAAACCTCACAATCCCCGTAATGGCAGAAAATCTATTTAAATTAGCTATATATTATTCCATGTGCTCATAGGTTTTGAGCAAAGACTAGGCCCTTTATCACTTTTACTGTATTCAAGTCTTTTCTGCATGCTCTGAAATTGCACATTTTCCTTAAGTAATTTCCAAGATACATATTACTACAGAAAACTAAAGTATATTCAAAGTGTATTCTAAACACATAAAAAAAGAAAATTTTGGAAAAAAAAAACAAACAAACAGGGTAGGGCAGATATATAGCTCAGTGTTTCAGCACTTGCCTACTATGCTCAAGGCCCTGAGTTCAATCCCCAGCATGAGGGTGGGGGGGTGCCCCGCAAACAGGTGTGGTGATGCATGCCTATATTTCCAGCACTCAGGAGGGCAAGGCAGAAGGATGGCTGTGTGCTTGAGCCCAGTCTGAGCTACACAGTGAATTCAAGGCCTGCCTGAACTACATCAGACCCTGTTCCAAAACAAAACAAACTATATTACTGATACCCAATTTCCTAAAACTACATTTTAATCTGTTTACTATATGATCCATGCTTTCCCTTCTGAAATACCAGGCGTAATTTTTATCTGTATAGTTCCAAGATAAAATCTCAAAACATTCCTACTGAGATTTTCTAAAGAAATTCTGAAGCATCCTTAGAGTTTATAATGACCTATCACTTCCCAGCCTCCTGGCTAAGATCAAGTGTAGAGTTTGTAATGACCTAGAATGTGAGGGAGTCAGATGTATTGAGTTGAAAGGTGAATAACCATCATTTCAGTTTATTGATGTTCTAGCTTCTGGACCAAAATCTCTGGATGCACATGGAGGAAATACATTTCTAAATAATAATCATCTTTTGAAAAAATAAGTGACAGCATTTACCATCACTTACAAATTAGCAGTTCAGATTATGAGCCCAAAGGTGAAAGTTCAAAGCTGCCACACAGAAATGAATATTGAATCACAATTAGTTACTTTCCAACAATCAAAACCAGTTTGATGTTACCACCTTTTTCCTTTTTGCCTATATCCTGCCTTTATTACAGAGTTTTGCCCCAAGAAAGGTAGTACCCACTTACTATGGCTGTTTCGACAATTAAATGACAACAAAATATATAGATCAGTCTCGCACATAGGGCCCCATCATAGATCTTATTACTATTCTATAGACAGATAATTAAAGGAAATCCCAGTCTTCAAATTTTCAAACTTTAAAGTCACTGCTTAAAAAGCAACATGATTTGTTAGTCCTGGAGTTTCCCAGGAAGTGGCACTACTTGGAAAATAAACTTAAAATAAGTTAATAAATAACAAGCAAGTATGAAGACTAGGGACGTGGCTCACAGTAAAGCACTCGTTAGCACGTGCAAAGCCCAGGGTCCAATCCCCAGGACCACAGTAAGGAACAAACAAGTACAAGTTCCAATTTGGAAGACATTTCCTTAAAGGAAATATATTTTTTAATTATAACAACATTGGACCCGTTATTACATACATATATATGTGTGTATATATATATACACACACACACATATATATATATGGCAACAAATACTCTCTTAAAATTTTGAACATTTTTGTCTCACAATTTTTCTCCCTAAAACATATGGTTCCTTTTAATCTGCTCAAAATTCTTCTAGGCAATAAGAACTGAAACCAACACAAGAAAGCGCAAGTGTCAGGGACTGTTCTGGGACCTGGGTATTGTTCATGTTTTATTCATCTCTGTATAGATGGATGGCTACTTGAGTAAAGATTTCAGCAAAGACCCAATCAATAAACATTGCTGAATTAAATTCGACAATTAATTGAATGAAGTCACCAAAAATTAGGCAGATGATCTGACTAATTCAAATAATGTTCTTATAAGCTCTACACAACCCAGTCTTTAAAATTAGTGAGGTGGTTTTTTGTTTGCAAGGATAAAAGAGCAAAGGAGGTTCATTTGCCCACACAATTCCTAAAACTAAATACTGCAAAACCTACAAAAAATTCCAAATTAACATTAGAGAGGAAACCACAACTTCCAAATTATTCGAAAATTTCTAGGTTCTTAAAGAGATTTTTTTTTTCCTCCCAGGTTTTTTGTCTGTCTATAAACACAGTGGGTCAAGAAAAGCAAATACCCCCAGGCATTGCTCATTCGAACATGAGGTACTAATTTCACTACAACTTAAAAATCTAGAAATACCAATCGAAACAACAACAAAAAAAAGATGTGCGTAGGTGCTACCTAAAAACTTAAATCTAGAATGCATGGCCAGGGTCACTACTTTGCAATCGAGTCCTCGCCTGTGGGAGGATTTGGGAAGAGAAAATGCAGACCAAGGCATCAAGGAGAGTAAGTCGCCCGGGTGAGGGAGGGAAAGGGAAAGACCAGAGAGGATTAATCGGGGCAATATTTATGGACGGGGGAAGTCACCCGGGCGGCAGCAGCCGAGGACCCCGTGCACGGGGAGTGGAAAGGGTTCGTTTTACAGTTAGAACGGGCAGAGGGGTGGGAGGAGGGGCAGCTACCACCGGAATCTTCGCTCCCGGGGTGGAATGGGTGCGTCACTCGCGTAGCGGCTTCTAGAAAGAGAAAATTTGCCCGCGGGGCAATCTTAATACGCGGCGGTGAGCAAGGGGGAGTGACCTTCCCGGGGTGATGGAGGAAGCCAGGGTCGCCTCCCGAGGGCCGGGGGTGGGGGACGCGCCCCGGGGCCCCGGCGGGCGGCCGGGAACACGGCGGCCGCCCGGGGACGTCGCGGACGCGGGCTCCAGTGTGGGCGTTACCTGCAGCGTCACCTCCTGGGGGTCCCAGTGCGGCCGCAGGTGTCGCAGGAGGCTCAGGGCCCCCTCGCGGCAGCGCTGCTCCTCCTGATCCTGCACCGTGACGTTCAGCTTGGGCACCTCGGGCGAGCCGGACGGGACGTGGATGTAATTGGCCATGGCCCAGGCGACGGCGGACACGACCACGACCACGACGGCGACGGCGACCACGAGAACGGCGGGCGCCGACAGGCTGGTGGTTCCTTCCGTCCCGGGGCGCCCTCGCGGGAGGGCTGGGGGCGCTCGGGTGGACGGGCGAGCGGTAGGAAGACGGCTAGAGGCGGCACCGTGGCCGAGCCGGAGCTGAGCAGCAACGGAACTGCGCCGCGGCCGCTCACGGGCAGGACTTCTCTGTGCGCTCCGCCGCGGTCGGCCGCGGAGGATGCCGGGACTGGCCTGACGCTGGCGTCACGCCGGGGGCGGAGTCTCGGTGCGTCACAAGCCGGCCGGGCATCCGAGCTCCGCGCACAAAGGGCCGGCGGCTGCGCGCCCGGCTGCGAGCGGCGGTAATCGCGTGCAAGCTGCAGAGCAGCTGGGTAGGCAGGCTCAGGGCTCCTGCTCCTGCGTGAGCCTCGACTCTGCAAGGCGTTAGAGCTTTAGCTCACCAGATCAGGAGAGTCCCGGGGCTCTGGGCTTGAGTTAGGGCTGAGGATATTTTAGGAAGCGGGAGGCACGGGTCCTGAAACAACCCCAGGGTCAACCTCTGAGTTAGAGCCTGAGTTGGGCCAGCTGTGTGGACTTGGTCGTCGTGACCCCGGGGCCGCTGTGTACCGAGAACCACTCAGTTTGATTACTATAGCAACTAAATTCCTATCGCCACGATATCAAGAGCTCAATATTTGAGACTAATTCAGTTAAGATGTTTGGGCAATACAAATTCAACACCTGAGGAAGTATTTTGAGGGTCTGATGATTGGCCGTGCTGAGAATTACTCGAAGCCCAGAAGAACAGGCTAGAACATGGAATGAACGCTAAAGGGAAGGAAAGAAAAATAGTTTTTCGATATAGTGCTAGAGAGACTGGTGGAGTGTGTCAGGGTGTATCTGAGCAGGCCCTGAAGTTCACAACGTCTACCCTTGAGCCTCTAGTATCAACGTCTTGTAACAGCTGTTTCCAACACTTAAGGGAATACTGGAAACTGGATAAGCCAAAAGTTATTTTTTGGGACTTCTAATTTTCTTTTATGATGGAAGAAAACGGGGACCTCAGAAGCTGTCTCCTCTGCATGCTAAGGCATGATGAATACATCTTTGTACTAAATTAACAACATTCAAAATGTTTTCTGTAACTGACACAAATTTATATTCTGCTTGTTCAGAAAGAGCCTACTTACTTTTGTAAATCAAAAAACAAATGCTTGAAGAACAACAATAAATTACTAAACTAAAAAGAGAGGGAAAATCGAGCTTTGCCATACAGCAAGGAAGCTGATTCAACCCTCCGTGCCTCCCCGCTCCCGACCTTTTTATTTCAGTGCTGGGGATTAAACCCAGGGCCTCAAACATTCAAACCAAATGTTCTACCACTGAGCTATCTTCTCAGCCCTTTTTTCTGTTATATTGAGACAATACCTTGCTAAGTTTTCCATGCTGGCCTCAAGTTTGCTGATCATCCTGTCCCAGCCTCTCAAGTAGCTAGCATTACAGGTGCTCACCCGCTAGGCTTACATATGTTTTTAAAATCATGTACTCCGCAGCACAAAAAGAAAAGGAAAAAAAGTAGTATACTACAAGAAATACTAGGGCATGCATTCCTTCCAGTCTGGGGGTAAATAATGAACATAGCGCCAAAGCTTATGAAGCTGTATCTCCATAACTCATAATCAAGACAGGGTAAAATGAGAGACGTATTAAACTGGTGGTAGAGGGGGTAACGTCTAAACATGCCAAGTGTTCACTTTTTTAATTTAAAAAAGCTTTGGGAAAAATTTTGTAATAATATTAAATACAATTGATGGTTCACCTGCTTTACCACCTAGCAATTTCAATTTCAGGTATATAAAAATAATTCCACACAAGTACACAAGTGTGTACAAAAATGTTCACTGCAGAATTGTTGGTAAGAGCTAAAACTTGGTAACAATATGTCCCTCACTATGGAAGTGATTAGATAAATAGGCAGAGCAATAAGTAGAATGCTTAGATTTGACAGATTCAATGACAAACTAAAGCTGGCGGATGGAACATACAAATTTACTTTTGCATACACTCAGCCAACAAGAGGGGCTTGACAATTCAGAAACCCAGCGGTAGTTTTTTAAGCCACCCTGCACATCTTGTTAGTTTGCAAACTGTCTCTGCCCGTTCCTTCCAGCTGTTCTTATTTCTTTCTGCTTCTAGTGGTTTTTGTTGAATATAAAATGTTGTTATGTATGACATAATTATTATGTCTTAAATGCACAATATGGGGGTCACAAGCAAAAGTGCCTAGATGTTTTAATGCTCTTTTCATGAATTCTGCCTACCGGTTTCTTTCTGTATGTCCTCTTATCATTCAGATTTTACTCAAAAATTATTCCCAGCAGGCCTTCTAATTGGTTTTTATCATAACAATGATATAGACAAAAATTATGTAGATATAGCTAAATAGATATATATATCTCAATCACTTATTACAATGTAAGTAATCTTGAGATTAGTGTATTTACCTTTCTTAATATCCATCTTTTGTTCTAGAATGGTGGCCCTAGGAGAGCAAAGCTACAGTTTATTTTATCTATTGCCATTTTTGCACTGCCTAGAATAGTGCCTAGGACATAAAGTACTCAATAAATAAATGCATAAGCCAACCTAGTTTCTAAAACTCTTCCAGTCTCCCATAAGAGCTCCCAGCCAGAGGTTGTATTAGCTGATCACTAGAGTACTCTACTGTGAACTCTCCTAGAGTCTGATCATTTCCTTAGCCACTGGCCATCCCATTTGTTATCTTTAGGCTTTTCTTAGCTATAGGATGTCAATAAAATTCCCCAGCACTTTGCAGCACATATCTAGAGGATATAAAATAGATATGGAGATATAACATTATTAGGAAGTATTTAACAGTTTTAGTCCCTTTCTGGTACTTAACATAACGTTAGTATCCTCCAATACCTGGAATGACCTTGCTTCCTATGTCTGTGTCTTGATATCCCATTCATTCTTCAGTTTAACACTCCAACAATCTTCTTAGAGTTTTTCTGGGTTTTCCTAGTGCAAATTCACTTCTGTCTGTGGTTCTTTCTATCTATCTATCTATCTATCTATCTGTCTGTCTATGTATCTATCCATCTATCTATGTTGTCGTGCTAGGGATAGAACCCAAGGCTCTGCACATGCTAGGCAGTCATTCTACCACTGAGCTACATCCCCACCCCTGCTTCTCTCTTTTATGCATCTGTTAAAACACCTCGGCACTTCTGCTTGTGACCCCCACATTGTGCATTTAAGACATACTAAGTGGGGCTGGGGATTTAGCTCCGGCAAAAACGCCTGCCTGGCAAGCGCAAGGTCGTGAGTTCGGTTCCCAGTACCGGAGAAAAAAAAAAAAAAAAAAAAAAAAAAAAAAAAACCATATAAATCCAAAGACATAATAAATATGTCATATATAAATGACCAGCAAAGCCATTATAACTTGCTTCACAGTAGGCATTTTGTGTAAGATAATGAAAGGTCACTAAATGTAAAGATCACTAAATATAAATTGTAGGGCTCTGATTATACATTTTTAATTGTAATGTATTTAGATTTAGTTACCAGAGTAATGAGACAGAGAATTTGCAGAAGAAAATATGCTGTGCAATAAGATTATATAGGCTAACAGCTAGCTCCTCCACTCAGCTGAAAACATGTTTAAAATGAAATCATTCCTATACACCTAATAGAAAACCAGAGTTGGTTAATTTCATTGCAAAGTGAGCTGAAACTTCAGGAATTCAAAACATCTGTAATACCAGACATTCAAGGTCTGGAATCCTCTGACCTTTCCCCACCAAAAAAAAATACAGAGTCTAAGGCAAAATCCCTATGTACTTAGATTTCAGAGATGCTATTATCAAAATAAGGCTGCACCTGTTCTGCACTTTACAACTTTAAGATAGCCTCAGGGAACTGTTTATAAAGCTGCTGCAACAACCTCATTAAACACACCTATGGCAGGCCATACCTCTATGTGTGTGCTCAGTTTTAAGATCTAATAAATATTTAACTCTATATAACATATCTGTTGGTACATGTTCTACCTTGCCTCTTTCTCATATTCGGATTATAAGTATACCTCATACATTAATTACTTGCTCAGAGCTGGCACTACCCTTACCCAACTCCCTCCTGAGGATTGAATCCAACACCCCTAAGCACTTTTCAGGAGGAGGGGGCAGTACTGGAGTTGAACCCCAGTCCTTCACACTGAGTTAAATCTTTAATTTTGAGACAGGTTACAATAAGTTGCTAAGTTGCCCACGCTGGGCTCAAACTTGCAATCTTCCTGCCTTAGCCTCCCACGGTCCGGGGACTCCCTCTCATTTTTTGTTTTGAGCCAGGGTCTCTCAAAATTCCCAACACCTTTGCCTTACGCGCCCAAGTAGCTGTGATTATAGGTGTGAGCCACTGCACCTGGCTCCGAGAGCGCGAATTCTATCCTTTTCGTCTTATTATCCTCCACAATCTTGTCAGTGTCTTATATGTTATAAATGATAATTATGGGTTTAACTCCATAAAGGAACATAAACTGTCCCTAATTTTCTTCATCTAAAATGTGATAGGGGATGGGAGAAGAGGTCAGGCCTGGTGGTGCATGCTTGTGATCCTGGTGCTCAGAAAGCTGAGACAGGAAAACCACAAATGGGAGGCCAGCCTGGGCAAGTTAGCTGGGTCTATCTCAAAGAAAATAAATAAGTGCAGATAAAAAGTAAATAAAATATGCAGGGGTGGAAACTTTTTAAAAGATCATTACATGAGTAATGAAAGGACATCTGCCTTACCACATGAGCAGGAAAAAAACAGATCAATAAAAAAGAAAGATCCCAAAGTATATGAGATATTTGCTGTATAATAAAAGTAATTTTTGCATGTGAGAGAGACAGGGTTTCTCTACATTGCCTAGGTTGGCCTGGAATTCTGGGGTTGAAATGAACCTCCTGCCTTAACCTGTCCAGTAGCTATGACTACAGACTTACACCACTGTGCCTGGCACATTAAAGGTAATATTTTAAATTGGGGGTGAAGGGAAGTGGATTGTTCAACAATAATGTTGAGATATTATTTTGCACAGAATTTGATAAAGTTGGTGCAGCAGTCCTTGTTATTATTTAAAAGTGGTAATTATAAAAAGATCACAAGTGCTGATCAATTTTCTGTCGTAGTTGTGTCAGAGTTATAAATGGCACCAATATCACTTTAAAGGTGAAGGAAAAAAAAAACCCAGA